GGGGGGGGGGGGGGGGGGGGGGGGGGGGGGGGGGGGGGGGGGACGCCGGTGATAGAACTTGCTGCTAGATCTTATTGCGCTGGACCCAGGATAATCTCAGGACGTGTAGAATGACCACAGTCCCAGATCCCGAGCTGTAGTTTGTTTGCTAGGAGCGGCCGGCAGCACTGGAGTTCCAGCACTGTGAAGCCGCTGTGTGCCTCTTTATCCTTCCACTCCACTGCGGCAGGTGATGGCGGCGTTTGGGGTCGTGCCCGAAAGGATTGGGTTTTCTCAGCCCCGATCTCGGGTTGGGGTACAGACAATGTGGTCTGTGGCAGATTCTGTTGGGCACCTCCTGCCTCCTCCGAAGAGGGAGTAGGGATTTTGAGCTGGGCGCGCAGCTGCTATCCTCCTGTGGCAGGAGCTCAATTGTGATGGCGGCAGGTACCTGCGGCTGTCGGAGAGACCTTCCAGGGAAAGACTGGGTGACCAGTATCCAGTCTGGCAACTTTCCTTCCCCGTGGGGTTTTTTTGCGACTGGGACTCGCAGCCTTAGGTCCCCTTGTGCCCACCAATCAGCCTGGGAAATTGCTCATGATAAGCAGTCTTGCGGCACCAGCCTGGAGACCCAAAACCCGCGTTGCCGGGTTCTCTTCCGGGTTCTGGCTGGGCAGCCATGAGTGGACCCGACCGCTTCCCACGCCGTGGGAGCCTCCCCTCACCTGGGAAACACGATCGATCGCTGTTGTTTTAGGGCCCAGAGTTCAGTCTCCTGGTCGCTGCACGGAGTGTGTTGTTCTGCTTCTCAGACACGGTGTTCTCCCGGTGCCGCCATCTTGGCCCCCCTAGTCTTTTTATTTTCTTAACAGCATTTTGCAAAGAGCTAAAGTTTTGATTTGTTAAGTCTAGTTTATAATTATTTGTAATTATTTCATGAACTGAGTTTAGTAGTAAAATTTTAGGTATAATACACCAAAAGCACAAAATTCAGAAGATTCTTGGTGTCAACAGACAGAGGTTTTACAATTTTATTCTTTATAAGTAGGTCATTGACCAGTGATGAGTTATGCCTTATATTGAATGTCAGGAACATCTCCTTCATGCCTTTTGTTACTTTTGTTGTTGTTTGCCATTGTTCCAGTGTTGTTAAAATAGCCATCACTTCATCTAATTACATCTTTCTCCATCAACATTCAGCTGTGGCTTTCTGTGGTCTTCTGATGGGCTCTGTCTATATCCTGTTCTATTGACCCACATGTTGATCTTCTTGCCAGGTACCCCACCTTGACTGTAGCAGCTTTGAGGGGTTTTTGTTGTTGTTGTTTCTGTTTGTTTGTTTGGGGGGGGCTTGTGTTTTGGTTTTTGGTTAGAGATATGGTTTCTCTGGGTAGCCTTGGCTGTCCTGGACTCTATTTATAGACTAGGCTGGCCTTGAACTCACAGAGAACTACTTTCCTCTGCCTCCCTGAGTGCTGGGGTTACAGGCATGCACCACTGCGTCTGGCTAGCTTTGTGTTTCAGCCACTGTGGGCCCTTTCATTTCACGATCTTGTCAGGGTGCTTTTAACTATCACAGTCATCTTTCTTTCAGATTTGTTTAGGAGAACCTGGCTGTTATTTCCAAAGCCACTTTCTGAAATTTTATCTGAGACTCTACTAAATATGAAGTTCAAATCTTAATATAAGTGTATAATACTGGTGTGTCATTTGTATTCATATAGATTTTCTCTGAGTCTTCAATAGTACATAAATCTTGCACCCATTTCATCAGATTTCATTTAAGTGTTCCACATTTTATGGCTGTTGTAAATGGTGTTTTATAACCCTTCTATACTACAAATGATTATTGTGGTGGTTTGAATGAGAATGTCTCCCATAGTCTCAGTCACTTAAATAAGTGGCCCTCAGTTGGTGGTGCTGTTTGGGAAGGTTGGAGGTGTGGCCTCAGTGGTGGGGAGGGGAGAAGTGAAGACCTGTTGGATTTTTCTGCTTCCTGCTTGCAATTTGAGAGGTGAGCTCTCAGGTCTCAGCTACCAGCTCCAGTCACCATGCTTGCCCTTTACTTGGATCCTAACCCTCTGGAACTGTAAGTCCAAACTCTTCTGTAAATTGAGTTAGTCATGGTGTGTTATCACAGCAATAGAAAAGTGACTAATACAATATATAAACATATTAATGCTTTTGTACTTTTTTTCTCATAGCCTACAAAGATGTTAAGTATGTATTTTAGAAAGAAAAAAAAAGATTTTTAGGCTGTTGCTGTGGTCTGGCTGACTGGCAAAATCTGATTTGAGGCATTCCGAAAGGGGTTTTTCTCTTATCACACACACTTTACAGAACACCCACAAACAGTTTACTTATGAAAGAAGCTCAAGCAGGGAAGTAACACTAGGAAAGCAGAAGCAGAAGCCCCACTGTTCTGTACTTTATCTCATTCTCCAACACGACCATGTTTGATGACACAGTATGTGAGGCAGAAAGTGGGTAAGGAGCCTCCTAATGTGAATCCATATGAAAGGCAATCTGACAACTTTATAAAAGCATAAACAATCAGTGATTCCATTCCTGGGAATTTATCCTACAGACATTCTTAGAAAGGCAAAAAACAGCATATGTGTGAGGTTATTAATTGATATGTTTATATTAGAAGAATAAAATAGCTCCAGTATGCACAGAGATTAACTGTGTCTGTTTATGTTGGCTCTGAACAATGCTGTATGATGCAGACTTAAAAGTAAATTTGGGCAAAATATTTGCATTTTTGGCAAATGAAATTTAAGAAAATGTAGTGCTTAGTTAAGCACAACCACTAACAACTTTCTAACTAGACCTAAATAACTCAAAATTAACTTGATGTATTGTCCCATGGAAGCCTGGAGATAAATGGGCTGGAAACTAGGTCTTTTGTATCACACAAATGTTCCCAGTAATAATGAAAGAATGCTAATCACAATTGTATTAGCTTGGGGGTTCTTGCACTTTCATAAATTGTATTCCTGTCTTCTTGGATGCTATTAAGTTCTATTTGAATTCTCCTGATCTTCTAAAAATATTTTATTAATAGCAGTTTGATGAAAGCAAATAAATTTTATGTTATAAAGTCTTAAATGTTAATTTTACCTCTATCTTTTAAAATATAACATATATGTTGATAGTTGAAAAAGCATGGAAGTATAGGAATCTATAATTAGAATTCTGGATTTATGCCCACTTAGTGAAGGGGGTTGAAATCGAGTTTAGAGACTGCCACTTCAGAAAGGTGATCTCGCTTGCATGGGAGGCCCTGGCTAGGCTGTTGACGAGGAAGAACAAACAGAGGCAGGTAGATGCTCAACAAGATTATTGAGAAGTTCAGAGTTCTAGAATCCCCAAGCAGCTGGAAACAAAGGACATAAGAATTCTTCTTTTGCCAAGATTCTAGGGGAAAACCCTTGAGTTATTGAAGGATCACTTGTACCTTGTGAGAATCAGAAATGGCTTCAGGGTATTCAGGAAGGTACTGGGAACAACCGCTCACTGACTGAGTAAGTAGAACCAGGTTCCTTCCACCCATCACCCAGAAAATTGTCTACAGACCGCACTGGGAACCTCCTTCTCAGTAAGAGCGGAGCCACAGCTTAGCAAGGTCAAGCCCTGGCTTCAGTATACTTGAGGCTGCCATTGCTGTGGCTATTGCCTTGATCTATCTCAGAGCAGATTCTAATCTAATGCAATGGATGAAAACTGATTGATTTGTAGGCTCTGCATCTTACCCATCATTTACCTGCCTAGTGTAAAGCCACAGACCAACACATTTTCTATGAAAAGACAGTATTGTAGATCTGCTGGCCTCTATATCCTGACATAGTTCCTGGGGCCTGACACTGCACTGTGGAAACAGTAGAGCACAATATGCCACCATATGGGCAGACCCCTGTTTCAATAAAACTTTACTTGGAAAAAATAAGTCTGGTTTGCGAACCTTGTCCTTCATTAGCACCCAGTTTCCTCATTGCTTAGAAACTGAAAGCCCCTCTGTGGTTCTCTGCTAGGCCATGCTTGTCCAAAAAGCCCTATTTTCAACCTTACCTCTCAACGGAGGGATTCACTCTGTGGGAATAACTAGTAATTATTAGAATAGCTAGAATAACTTAGGAAGATTCTAGGTAGGTGCAGAAAACAATAATAGACAAAAACTACACAAACCCTGAGTTAGTGCCCTGAAATTTCATACTTTACACCAACCCCATGACAACAAAGTAGTGTTACTTGAAGAAGATATCATTTGTATGGGAGAAGATCTTGTTGGAAGCCAGTTGCCAGCAAAAAAGGCAACTCTTGGCGTCTGCACCCACTTTAAATCACTCGTTATCAGATTCCTTTGTTGTCCCAGTTTCTCACCTCCAAGCATTGCCCACTCAATGTGACCCATTGTTCTCTTTCCACTTTAATTCACCAGGCCAAACATATTAGGACCTCATCCATTTGCAATGTCAGATGAGAGACTGGTATGTTTGAAGCAATACCTCCCCATCTGGAAAAGCATCAAAACAGGAGAATGACAAAGAACAAACCCTTCATCAAACCAAAAGTTCATTGTCTCTGTAGGCCCTTGTGTGTTTCATCTCTAGATGCAATAAGAAAACTCTGAGTGCATATGTAGGGAAGACCTCTCTCTGTGTGTTCTTTCCTCCTCTAGACAGAGTTAAGGTGAAAATCTGGAAATTCCATGATTTCTGTCTGTATGTCAGATGGGGGAGGTCATTTCTGTTTGTCTGATTCTAAGGACACAGCAGCAAGAACCTCCAGTTTTATTCCTGCCTTTTGTACTGTGTCTGAGTGGCTTCTACCTTTTTCCCCGATGGAGATCCAGAATGGCTGAAAACAAACAGAAAGTGCTCATATGGGGGTGTCCACACAGGGATTACAACAGTCTGAAATGCTCACTGGTGACAGGTGCTCTGAGGATTACTGCAGGTTGTCTGATGCTCTCCTGATCTTTGGCAGGCTCTGCTTCCAACAGGCCATGGAGATGAAGGCTGTCAGCGTCTTGGCCCTGATTATCAGCCTCAGCGTAGTCACAGAATCCAAAGTCTACACTCGATGTAAACTGGCAAAAATATTTGTGAAAGCCGGCCTAGACAACTACTGGGGATTTAGCCTTGGAAACTGTGAGATTCCTCCCCTGTCGCCTGCCTCAATCTACTTTTGAGTGTTTGTGTCTGCTATGTGGTATTGCAGATGCCCTCCATGCTTTCACCTGGCAGTCTCCAGCTCCGCCAGGCTCTACCCCTGCCAGAGATGGCTGCTAGCTCTTTACATGGTCTCCCAAACCACATAATCTTATCCTTCTCTCCTTCCCATTGCCCTGGGCTTTGTTTTGGTTTGGTTTTATTACTACAGAACTATGCTCATGACCACATGGATGGAAAAGAACAATGATGCCACCCATCCCAGTATGTGGAGTAGGCCTAGCCTAGTAGGCTAGGCCTACTCCACAGTAGCCAGTAACTCCAGATGAGACTCAGCTACCGGCTTACTGTGCAGGCGCTGGTGTGGCCCCCCTGCTCCTGTACTTATCCCTGTGTCCTGCTGATAGTTTTCATTTGTGCATCCTGCCCAAATGTCTGCTGGAGGAAGGTCATTGGGTAGCATATATGAAGAACTTTAGCCCACAGAGCAGGCTGAGACACAATACTGTGGTCCCCTTAGGTCTTTCTCTCCCCATTTAGGGATATGCATGGCATATTATGAGAGCCACTACAACACTACAGCCGAGAACATTCTGGAGGATGGGAGCATTGACTATGGCATTTTTCAGATAAACAGTTTCACATGGTGCAGAAATGAAAGAATACGACAGAAGAATCACTGCCATGTTGCCTGCTCAGGTACTGTTTCTGATTATCTAGATTTGTCAGCTTCAGAGGAGAGATAAGACCAAAGCTCACAGGAGATACACCTATATCTGCTTTAAAACTCAGAGGTCATATTTACAAGTCTGTTGAGGGGCAAGCAGATGTCTCAGTAGCTTCTCCTATGGTGTACAAATGTCTTATTTCTGTGAGGCAGGTTTTTAGTAAGCCCTCCAGGAAAACAGGGTTGAACAAATGACCTGGTCTTTTCCCGGACTGAACCATTTCAGTTTTCAATGGGGATTTAAAGCAGCCCTTGCTGGGTGCATACAAAACAGATGTTCTTTGTGCACTGAACTCTGTTTCTTTGAGTGAATTAAGACAAATGGGCTCCATTCCCATTTCGTTTGTTTGTTTGTTTGTTTGTTTGTTTGTTTGTTTGTTGAGACAGGGTTTCTCTGTGTAGCCTTGGCTGTCCTGGACTCGCTTTGTAAACTAAGCTGGCCTAAACTCACAGAGATCCACCTGCCTCTGCCTCCCTTAGTGTTGGTATCACAAGGCATGTGCCCCTACCTCAGGTTTCCATTTCCATTTCTTAATGAGAAGAAATTAGACTAGGATTCACTTCCTGTTCCTCTGCTTCTGTTATTCAAGAAACACATTCATGACTGGCATAGAGAGCAGAAAGCAATAAAACACAGCAGGCATGAGATCTGCTTCAGCTGGTGATCTTGAGACTGTGCTCATACAAAAGCTAACTCCGTGGCTAGGCAGGAGGGGATCACTTGATGTGGGCTCCAGAGGAATGTGACATTTTAAGAAATTCCAGAGCTAGGGATCTGTTGTGAAGTGTTTATCTGCCATGCTGTAGACCCTAAGGCCAACCCCTACCTACTCTCTCTCTCTCTCTCTCTCTCTCTCTCTCTCTCTCTCACACACACACACACACACACACACACACACACACACCCAAAATTTTATGGAAAGCTCTAACATGGGACTTGGAAGGTATACAGGATTTGAGAATCTAGAGACAGAAGAATCACAGAAAACACCTTGGGAAATTCTGGAAACTGCTGTTTGAGGGGTTGGTGGCAGCTGACTAAGAAGGAGTAATCTGCAAAAAAGAGAATGAAATAGGTCAAGAAGGATGCTGCCTAAGCATCACAGTGTTGACAGTCATGGGAATCCTCAATAGCTGTCACAGTGAGTGGAGCTGGGGAAAAGAAAACAGCTGGAGAAGAGGAAGCAAGCAGAAAAGATACAGGAAGATGGCTGTGTTTTCTCTCCTTATTTCATTCACTGATGTACTTATCCTAGTACCTAGAACATTATCTGGCTATTGTTGGTGCTCAACAAATATTCATTTATTAAAGACATAAACAGAAAGAATGAAGGACAGGATTAAAGTCGGTCAGAAAATACTCTAGGCCAAATTCTATGGGAGCAGAAAATAAATTGTTTTAATTGATCTTTGCTACATCAAAGACAAGCAGTACTATGGTTGCAGGACAGAAAACTGAATCATGCATAAAATTATCTAGTGAACTGCCCATACCCAACATTAGTACAGAATGACCACAGCATTCTGAGGCAAACTGCCCAGCTATTTACTAGCCCTTAATATAAGCATCATTCTGTTAGGTCCCAGGTCTGTTTCTTCCCCTGGATTCTAGTTTTCTCTTCTGGATCCATTCAAAATGTGTTATTTTTTAGTCAAGGGCTATTGATGGCCTTTTTAGCTTTTTTAAATCTTCTGTGCAAAAAAAAAAAAAAAATCTGTATCTTTATCTTCTTGCAGGTAAGACCTTTTAGCCCTCCTAAGCCTAAGTTAATCTCAGCATTCTTTAATAGGAAGAATGCTATTAGGGACTTCCTGTTAAGTGTGATCATTAAACCTGTACATTTTCTGCACCCCGAAGTGAGTAATGGCATTCTGAAAAATCTGCGCTCTGCTGAGGTTCATTTTAATTATGAACTTGATTGGTTTAGGAGACAACTAGAGCATTAATGAGTCACACCTATAGGCATGTCTATGAGGGTGTTTTCTGGGAAGTCTAACTGAAGAAGAAAAATGTGAGCAGCAGCCTCTCATGGATGAAATAAAAATGGTGAAAGGAGCCAGTTATGGTGGTACCCAGTTTTAATCCCAGCATACAGGTGGCAGTGGCGTACGGATCTCTGTGAGTTCAAAGACAACTTAGTCCATTTAGTGACTTCCAGGGCAGCCAGCACTCCATAGTGATACCTTGTCTTGGAAAGAAAGAAAAGAAAGAAAAAGAAAGAAAGAAAAAAAGGGAGTGTACATGAAAAGAGAACAGCAGCAACCATCTCTCTGTATGAGTCAATGTACAATTTTAACCCAACCAATCCCATGCTACCCACTCACAGATTGTTCTGTCGAAGCCATGATGTTGGTAGTCAGTTGTTTAGATAACAGTAAAAAAGCAAAATATCTCATCCCTACTTGACAGCCACTGTGCTCATCAGAAATCATTGATAAATCTAGAACAAAGAATAAAGGAACCTCTTGAGAACAGAATGAAGAAATAACTTTTGTGATTTAAAAACTGATGGCAGAAAGGCTTAAAAAATTAGAGTAAAAAATAACATGAGGAGATAGCAACACAAGAGAAAGATGTAAAACAGAAGAAATATGGACAAGAAAATGAATGATATTGCAAAATACAAGAATATAAGTCTTGACAGGATAGAGGAGAAATGCAAAACCCTTTTATAAAGTTTCCATTTCCACCCACAGCACAACATAAACCAAAATACCTAAACTAAAGGTTATGACTCCAGCACATAAGGCCTACAGTGTGACTCATATAATGGAGATTCACACTCAGGCACATTGTCCCAGAATTCCAGAACAGTAAAGAAAAATGAAATCCAATATATGTTTCCACTAAGAAAAAGAATATATGTGGTCCATACAAAAGATTAAACAACATAAAATCTCTCAACTGTGACACTGGTAAGGGAAGAAAGAGGGAAGGTGTTCAAAATTCTGAAGAATAACTTCCAATAGAAATTCTTTTATTACTCAAGTCATCAAGATCTTTTGAGCATCATGAATACATTTTTAGACAAGTTGTTAAAAACAAAAATCTTCACATTTTATATCTTATGGTATTCTGACTTCACAGAAAATTCAAAGCTGATAATTAAAGAAAAATTGTTTTATTAATTATTTGAGAATATCACAGTTTATTTTGATCACATTCCCCCTCTACACCAACCTCTCCCAGATTCACCCTCTCCACCTCCCCTCCATATACACTTTCTTTCTTCTTTCTTCCTTCCATCCTTCCTTCCTCCTTCCTTTTCTCTCTCTCTCTCTCTCTCTCTCTCTCTCTCTCTCTCTCTCTCTTCTTTTCCTCAGTGAGTCCAGTCTATGACACCTAACTAGTCTCAGAAGTGGGGTCTAGAGTGTGGTTGACTTACCAGGAGTCACATCATTAAAAAAAAACGAACTCTCTCAGAAGATATCAAACTTCAGCAATTCTTCAACTTGTGGTGATATTTAATGCCCATCTCCACTTTCCATGCTGGGATTTTTTTTTTCTGACTAGAGCTTGAACAGCCTTATGCATGCTGTCACAACTACTATAAATAGTAGACATATAGATAGATAGATAGATAGATAGATAGATAGATAGATAGATAGATAGATAGATAGATATGCCAGTTGTGCCTGGAAAAAGTGTTCCTTTTGAAGTTGTCCTCCTGCTCTTACAAACTTATATCTGGCTCTTATAGACTTTCTGATCCCTCTTCTTTAAGGAGGAGGGGCGTGGTATGGTTAGCCCATTGAGGGCTGAGCACTATAATTTTTTCATCTCTTCATGTTCACCAGTTGAGGTCAATATTAATATTGTCCTCAATATTAATTGCCATCTGCTGCAAAAGGAAGCTTCTCTGTTAAGGCTGAGTGATGGTATGATCTTTAAGCATAGTAACAAGCCATTAGGAATAATTTTCATACTGTGTTCATTTAGCACAATCATAGTATTGGAGTCTCCTTAGGGTCTATGACATATCTAGCCATAGAGTCTCAGCCATGTCAACAGTGCCATGTATAGATTTCTTCTATGGAGCAGGCCTTAGATCCCATCAGAAAATGACTGGTTACTTCCACAACATTCATGCCACTCTTTCACCAGTGAGCATATCTTATCAGGCTAGTCATTATTATAGCTTACAGGATGAGATTTAGATTACTCTTCTAGGAAAAATTTAAATCTACTAATGAATGAGTGATCTTTCTTTGAGGAAACAATGAGGATGGTGATGTGGGTGACTGGGAACAGCAGACATTCCCATCACCTAACTTAAAGCAAAATGGAATCAGGCCTGTGAACAGTTTCTTACTGAAGAATCTCTGGAGGATACAGACCTCTTTTGATCTCTTTTGGGACACGCTATGCCAAATGACCTGGAAAAAACTATAAAAGAAAATAATCTTAGGCTCACTGTCCTCTCTCCCTCCCTCCTCATTTACTGGTATTCACTCTGAATTGTGGGAAGTCAGAGGAAATGGAAGTCCACTGATGACTTCCTTCGATTTGCTTGCCATTGCACAGAGCACAGTGAAGACAGATATGGTGGAAGGTTCCAGCACAGCTCCCATATAATTTTCTCATAACACTTAGAGGAGGTTTATCACCAAAAAGATAAACTAAAGTAAGAAAAACAAAGACACAAATCAGGAAAACAAAGGTGAAATTAATCCAGTAACCAGAAACTCAGCAAAGGAGAAAGGCCTCAGCAAGGCCCAGGGACTATATAAAATTTATATGGTTCTAGTCTTAAAAGTTGATCTTTGCAGTTTGTCTCCGTGGAAAATAAGCATCTAAATAAAAGCTTTGGTACTCTGTAGTTTTCAGTTGGATGTTCAAAAAGTGTCTGTTATGTCTTAGTTCTGTCAAGACTGAGAAAGGCATTCTTAAAATAGTGGCTCTTGTGCTTTTGTTGTTTCTTACGAGTTTTGGAAGCTCTGTTAGCAGGTGCATGCTTATTGATGATAGTGT